GGTGGGGCCAGCCCTCTGCTGAAGGCCCTGGGGTGTTCCAGGTGCCTTTGGTGCAGCTAGGGCTCTAATGTGGGTCATGTCCAGCCACTGCTACCTACCATGGCGTGCTCAGAGATGGAGGCATGTTCTCACTGAGCATGCGGTTTCTGTGCCTCCTGCTGCTGGGGGCTGGTCCCAGGGCACCATGGCTGAGCTCACTGCTGCTTTTAGCTGGTTTGCAGGGCCAGAATTCTGGCCTGGAGCTCGACAAACCCCGTGTGATCCTTCTGAGATGGACACAGCCTCCTGCTCCTGTTCTAATAAGGATTAGCTCTCAAAGGTCATTCTCCTCACTGCGCTTTGATAGGGTTGGTTTTGCACTCCCTTGGGGATACAGAATTCTGAATTGTTGCAGTCTGACTAAACAGATAGAGCTAATGTTTCTGATGAAATTGTCTCCCTCTGCAGCCACAGAGGTTTTCCTCAGGGACTTTTGGCAGTATGTGGAGACTTTTTGATTGGATGGTGAGGGCTAAGTGGTTCTGGGCTGGAGTGGGTAAAGCCAGGGATGCTGCTGGGCATGGTGCAGCACACAGGATGGCCGTCTGTGTGGCGGTGAATAGATGATGCTTGGGTTAGTGACCACTGAGGCACCTGCTTCAAACAGGCTTCACGGACTGCTACCTACCCCATAGGTCATCTATGCAGAGGCATAACGACGTAGTGAAGCCATTCACTTCGGGAGGCATCTGCTTGGATGGCATGGGCCGAGACCAGTGTGGGAGCTCTGCCATACTGCCCCATGAGTGCCAGCCAATGGAGAAGTCTTGGGATCTGCTTGGACCCTGCCCTTTCTTGATGTTAGTGGATCATGGAAGATGGAAGGGGAGGTTGTCAGTGGTTTTCCTAATACATCAGGACTTCTTTATTTTACTAAATCAGTGTTAATTGACTCTGCCTCACAGATTTAAACATAACTTTTGATCTGGGCAAACGTGAAAAGCAGGCTTGCTTCATTTCATGCTTTTCGCTGCTTGTGGACCCATGGGCTTGTACCTGGAGCAATGAGACAGCAATGTCTCTTCTGACACCAGCAGTCTCACAGCTGGGGCAGCTGCATTCCCGGTTCTTTTGGTGCCTGCAGTCTGGGAGGCACACGAGCAGCATGCTGGCTGTAGGCTGCCGCAGTTTTCTCTCAGCCAGTGTTAGGCCCCACATATTGCAGGCTTCCATTTGGCCTCTGCCCCGGGAGACCTGGTAAGCACCATGGTGTCTCCTGCTTTGCTGAAGCATCCTTGCTAACTCAGTTGCTCACATACTGCACCCTGGGAGGGATACAGAGGACTGTCACTGTGATCTCGGGACATGCCGTCTTCCTCTTCCTCCCTTCTGGCAGTCTTTCTGCAAACTGGTGGGGTTTTTGTTTTGTTTGTTTTGCTTTGTTTTCTTTTTAGAGAGAGAGTCTCTCTCTCTCCTCTCTCCCTCTCCCTCTCCTCTCTCTCTCTCCTCTCTCCCTCTCCCTCTCCTCGAGTAGATTTACTCTGCCACACCCCCTTTACCATGATGCTCTGCCTCGCCATAGGCCTAAAGCAATTAGGTCAAGAAACCAAACTGAGCCGAAACACACCTTTCTCCCTTAAATTTTTTTTCTTATGTAAGCATGTATTCTCTAGTGGTTTTTTCTCTCTCTCTCTCTCTCTCTCTCTCTCTCTCTCTCTCTCTCTCCCTCTCCTCTCTCTCTCCTCTCTCTCTCTCCTCTCTCTCTCTCCCCAGCTGGCCTGGAACTCACTATGTAGACCAGGTTGGCCTCTATCTCACAGAGGTTCTCCAGTCTCTGCCTCTCCAGTACTGGGATGATAGGTGTGTACCACAGTGCCTGACTCATCCTGTCTTTTTTAATGTAAATAATTTCTACTGTATGGATTTCTGAAGAGCAAGGCATAAAGGAAGCAGCTGTGATGTGTCCGCCACACTCGACGTCCCTGAACGCAACCTGAAGCAGTGTGGCAGTCATCGCCTTCTCCACAGGCATGCACACTCAGCTGCACACAGATACTGTTCTCCTGATGTGCAGAGCGGCGCTTGCGTGACAGGTGTGCTGCGACACAGTCACAGTTTTCTTTAAACACATAAAGAGATCATATAATATATAATCTAAAATTTATGTTTCAAAAATCGTGGGAAGCCCCTTATACTTTTCCATGTGAGTACTCATGTAGTGACTCTGTAATGAGAAGTTATTTACATTGAAAAAGTCAGTCTGTAATGGGGCATAGTGCTATGCAGTGAAGATGGGTGAACTCTTCTCTGCCTGTTGTTGTCAGGTTTGTTTTTGTTTGGAGACAAGGTCTTGCTATGTTGTCCAGTCCATTCTCAAACTTCTGGGCTCAGGTCTGTTCCTGCCTCAGCCTCTTGAATAGCTAGCACCCCAGACTTTGGCCACTCTGCTCGCCATGTCTGTAGGGTTTTTATATGGTTGTTTATGTGAGCTCTATTAGGGTCCAGATGAGCGTCACATTAGGCTCCCCCTTTGGGGATTTATGAAGTATAAATAGAATTTCGTTTGTGCGCATGTGAAGTCCCTGTGGACCATTTGGAGCCTGGGCTCCTTCACCAGCTCTGTCTACCCTTACCAGAGCCCGATCACTGAGTCCATGTCTCAACAAGATGTTCAGTGACAGCATTCATGACTGGGGCATTTAACTTGTGGTCACATGCCATTGGCCTGATTCTGGTAGCCAGGATAGTCTTAGCAGAAAGGAGACTGGTCATGTGTTCACCCAGGACTCATTGGATGATGAAGAGGAGAAAAGATACCAGTCAGCAGTTGGTCACAGTGGCATCCAGGTGGGGCACAGTCTTTTACTAGTAAAACCTTGTATGTCCCATGTGCTCATCTCTGTACAAAGGCCAGGGTTTCTATAAGGTGGACACATAGAAGCCATCAGAATGGGATTTTGTTTTCCATAAGTACTGACAAATCGTTTTCCAAAAAGGTTTAATTTCTACTTGCACTGACATTGAGTTCAGCAAGCCCTTGTGCTTATGGGATGTTATCAGCTGTTTCTCTTTTCAGTCTGCTGAGGCAAAACAGATAGAGTAGGATGGAGGGGTGGATGGACAGACAACAGACAGATTCTCACTGTGCTGTACTTCCCACTGCCAGCCACTCATCCAGTGCCCACTCCCTTCCTGTCGCATCGCTGTCTCCCTGGCTGTGTCTGCCCTCACCTTTGCCTGGTCTGACATTAATGTGCTGTCACTTCTGTGCCTGCTTCCTTCTGTTGCCAGCCGTAAGCATGTGCTTCTGTGTGTTGTTTAAGATTCTAGGTTTTGTGGCTTAAGAAGGCTTTTCTTATACCAAAGTAAAGTAAAATTCTGCTTTTACTTTTTTTTTTTTTTTTTTTTTTTTTTTTTTTGTCTTTGAGACAGGGACTCCCTATAGCCCCAGCTGTCCTGGAACTCACTATGTAGACCAGGCTAGCCTCGAACTCACAGAGATCTGCCTGCCTCTGCCTCCTGAGTGCTGGGATTAAAGGTGTGCACCACCATGCCCGGCTGACATTTTTTAATCCGCCTTGCTTTTCTGAGCCCAGGATCTGAGGGTGGTATCAAATGGTGCTAGACTCTTCAGGACCACCCATCCAGTGGTTCTTTCTTTACTGGTTTAAATGCCTCTTCATCACAGTTATGTATGTGGGTCTATTTCTGGCCTTCTCTCTGTTGATTTGTTTGTCTTGCCCTCACTAATACCAGCCTGTAATTACCATACATTGATAGCCTATTTAATATCTAGTAGTGCGAGCCTCTGTTCATTATTCTTTATTAAAATTTTTTTCTAATTTTGTGTGTTTCTGGAATTAACTCGTCAAATTCCATTAGAGGAAAAACCCCTCTGGCGTCTTGAACAGAGTTGGGGAAAGCCAGAGTCGTTAGACTCCTTCAGGGAGTTTATTTAAAGAGAACGTTTCCAGGTGTTCTTACGGCGTACTGTGATTATAAACCACCTGTCAGATGAGGATAGTTTGACAGCATGAAGCGGCAGCATGAAGGCCTGGGCAGAGCCTGGCCTTCACCTGGGCTGGAGGTGGCCACAACCTGTTGGAAGCACACTGTACCCTCCTGTTAGGAAGGGGTCTGGCACCTGGCTCTTTGCTGGGTATGTCAGGAAGCTCCTGCTTGGATGCACCCACCTGGACGCTGCCTTTTCAGAGGCCTTGCTTGGCCTTTTTTGTCTTCTGTTGAGTTGTTAACAACCCCAGGGGCAGCATTTGTGACTCAGCTCCTAGGGAGCCAACTCACCTTTACTCATAAGTACGGAATTTGATCGCCACCAGGCTCACCACTTACACTGTTGATGGCCACGGGAGGCCGAGTAACTTCAGGGCTTTTGAGAAGAAGCATTGCTTTAAAACAATGGCTTTGAAATCAGGATTTGAAATATTTCATGAGACTAGAACCCTCCCCCCGCCCCACCCCTTCCAGTTAATAGGATCTCCACAAAGGTGTCTCAGGTACCTAGTGTTGATGTGCCTCTGTGCTGTGACCTGACACAAGCAATGCACGGAGCACAACCCACTTTACAAGTGTTCATATATATATCTCTAAATTCAAGGGGCCGTGGGCCAGGCAAGCAAATCTGAGGACTCCACTCCTCAGCTCTCAGCTCCTGTCTGCTCCATAAGCAGGGCAGCCACTGAGGAAGGGCCTCAGAGAGGGCGGTGGGCCCCAGCTGGGCACGTGAGGAGAGGCATCCACAGTGATGCAAGCTCCCCATCTCAGGGCAGGGCAGTTAGTCCAAGGTATATAGGCTGCTGATACAGACTGAAGTCTGTTCCTGGCACTGCCGGAGTAGGATATCTTGAGCACAGGTAAAATTTGATGTATGGTTTATGCAGCTGATAAATGGCTGCCCCTACCAGGGCTTGGTGCTGTGTCTTCTCCCATGTGCAGGCACGGGTCAGCAGCCTGAGTCCTTGAGATGTGTGGGTAATCCATGCAAACCTCTGTTTGTTTTTCAGAACTATACTCAGTATATCCCTCTGTCTATATACGACCTGCAGACCTGGATGGGCAGTCCATCCATCTTCGTCTATGACTGCTCCAATGCTGGCCTCATCGTCAAGTCCTTCAAGCAGTTTGCACTGCAGAGAGAGCAGGAGCTGGAGGTGAGGAAGGCCTGAATCTGAGGGAGGGCCGTGCTCCAGCTGTGTGGGTGTGGCAGGGTGTGTATGGGGAGGAATCTGGAGTGTTGGACTTTCTTTGCATAAGGAAGCGCTCGAGGTACTGAAGCCAAAGTAGAATATTTGATGAGAGAGCTAAAGAGATAGGGTTTAAGAATGGGATGTGTTTGTAGATCTCATTGGATTTGGTGTCATATTAATTGGAACTTTACTTAAGTGGTATCAGTAGAGAAGATTTGTGCTTCAGTGTCTCCACAAGCTCTTGTTACACTGCTGTAGACATACTTATTTAGGACGCTTGGGCTCATCTCTTCAATTCCAGTCTCCATTCCCACTGATTTCTTTTGTAATTGTTCCATTTCTTTGTCTTCTGTTTTTTAATCTGAACCACAAAGCTAGATGGTAAAAACCAAAACTGCTGCCAGTAGGTCCCATGTCAGGAAGCGGCAGGTCTGGGAGCCGCTTGGATAATGAAGTGACGTTTTGCCTGGTTGTTTTAATTAATATGTGTTGGTTTAATTAAATGGTGAGTTCTAAAAAGAAAATTGAAGAGGCAGTTTCAATTAAGAGGCCTCCATACTGTGGCCTGCCCAGGAGCTGGGTGGAAATGCTCTGCGGCCTCCGGGGGCTCATGAATTCTGATTGGTTGCAGTGTAGAAAATTCTCAATCCAAGAACAAACATGGCCTTCAGTGTGGTCTCCTCAAGCCTTTTTGAGTCTGTTCATTTTTGTGTGTTTGTTATGTTTTCACATTTCATCAGAGGAGGGTGCTGAGGGAGTCAGCATCGAAATTTGAAGTTCTATTTAGTGGAACTTTAGGTAGCCTCTTGCTGTTGAATATTTTATATGTGTGGAACATTGTATAAGCGTGACTGGTAAGTGTAACGTCCTGTACCCTTGAAAGTGGAATGAGGTGTTTGCTAACCTCTTGATGTTTTGCATTTAGCAAGAAGAAAAGGGAAAGGTCAGGTTTGGTCCCACAGATCTGCTCCTCACTGTTCCTTCTGGGTTTACCCTGGGCAGGCCGTCTGGTTACCCTAAACACCCAGAGCACTTAGAGGTCATTTGTGTTTTCTCACATCAAGTAAGAAACATTGTGTGAACAATATTTTTAACTTTTATAATGTCAAAGGTGCCAACGACTCCTGCCTGTTTCTTACAGCCGTTTCTTGAGCTGCCGCGTGGTGAAGGAAAAGACCAGCCTTGTTAGTCGTGCCCCCCCCCAGCCGTCCCCCCTTCCATCAGAGGCTCACATCCACAGCTTATACATCCTAGTAAATGTTCCCATGCTGCGGCGCCAAGGAGGAATCAGCCCCAAACACTGTTCATTTCGTCAAGTACAGCAACAACAAAAAAGATTTATATGCATCTTTTTTTTGGGGGGGGGTAATTGATTCATTTGTTATGAAAGAGATCAAATAGAGAAAATGTTAACCGAGGTGGCATGTGTCACGCCATGTGTTTCATCATTAGCTCAGCCTTTAACTTTGCTCTTTTTATATAATTACAATGTAGATTGCACTTGTGATTCTCTATCACACTTACTATTATTGGCCATTGTTTAGTTGCTTAAACAGTGGAAATTAAAATTGCAGAATTTTATACAGTGGCTCCCAGCTAAGACCTTGATGTGTGTTAGTCATCTCGCTGTCTCCTGTAGAAACACCAGCCCTGTGCGACCTGTTTAGCTCATCCTTCCAATGTGTGCAGTTTGTGAGCTGATGGAAATTGTCAACTAATTTGTTTGGGCCAATGTTTACAATGCATGGTCCTGGCGCTGCTCTTCTGGTCTGCACTAGGATAGGAAAGAAAACATCTCTGTGCCTCCTGCTTGTCCTTGTGGCAGCCGAGATCCAGCTGGGAATGCATCTGCAGTGTAGGGGAGAAGGCAGAGGAGAGAAAGATGATTAAATATAGTGCGAGAAAATGACTGGTTGGACCAGAAGCCTCCAGACGGTAAGAGGGAACACACACAAGTGGCATAAGCATTAAGGACTGATTGCCAGCTCTCGCTTTCCTGATGGCGTGGTGCTTGACTGGGACCCTGGGGTTTCTTTGTTGTGCACTTCTCTCTGAGGAATCCCATTGGTAAAGTAGAAGGCGACTTCATAAAACAAGCGTAGATTACCGCATTCATCGAAACTTCACCAGCGCTGGAAGAATATGTATCTGTCACTCGGGAGTCTTCCTTACATTTTTTTATTGTGTCAGACTGCTGTTTTGTAGTTTGAAAATTAAAGAAAACCTGCAAGTCTCTCAGTTTTTAATGTTCTTTTTTTTTAAGTACTTCTATTTTCACCAAATTAGTATTTGTTATGGTTTTTTAAAAAATCAAAGAGTACAGAGAACTCATTTGTAATGAATATTCCTTAACTGCACCTTCCTGAGCAGGTGTCGGCAGAGGGGCCCCAAATTGCTCTCCAGGTCTGGAGGTAATTTGAATGCCCTGTGTCTTGATTCACCCATTTAGGTCAGCTCTGGATGAGTTTCCAAACCCAAAGAAGAACCACCATTAGTAACCCCTCTTTAAGAACTAGAGGAATCTGCCACGTGGAGGTGCATGCCTTTAATCCCAGCACTAGGCCAGCTGGGGCTACAGGGAGACTCTGCGTCATGAATAAAGTAGACTGAGGAATCCACAGGGCCTAATGGGCAGGCCTGTTATTCCAGCAGCTCCAGAGGCTGAGTAGGATAGCAAGTACAAGGCCTGCCTGGGGTCTAGGGAGGTGGCTCAGTGGTTAAGGGCACTGGTTGCTCTTGCAGAGGACCCAGGTTTGGTTCCCAGCACCCACATGGTGGCTAACAACCATCCTTAACTCCAGTTCCAGGGGATCCAACGCTGTCTTCTGGCCGCCTCACATAAGTACAGGCAAAGCACTCATATATTAAATAAGTAAATTCCTCTCAAAAAAATTGTACGAAAAAACGGTAAAAAGAAGGTGACAGCCATAGGTCAGTAGAAGAGTGACCCGTGTGTGCACGGCCATGGGTTCATTCCCTAAGACAATAAATAAAATACAGTAAAATGAAAACAGAGGAATCAGCTAGGCATGGGGGCGCACACTTGTAATTGCCTGCATTCTTGTTTGAGGCTAGCCTAGTGGTCCTTACCTAGGGAGTGAGGTGGACGTCCAATAGTGACTGGACATGCTGCTCAGTTGTAGTGTGTATTTTGGGTTCTCTATGACTTGCAGCCTTAGCTGTGGTAATGCTGGCCTCGGCAGGTCTGTTCCTGGCCTTGGCAGCAGTGGCCGATCATGCCTGCGTGGGTGCTCCAAGCCCCTTGCACTCCCCTTGCCGCTGTCTTCCCAACTTCTGTCACCTCTGCTTTCTCCTTGTCTTCTGTCCCCAACCGTAGTCAGGTCTATGTGCTTGGTGTGTGGACATCCTGAAAGATGGCAAGCATCCACCTGTGTCCCCTGATCATGGCTGTGTGCTCACTGAGTGTGAGGGGGCGGGGAAGGTGTGAGGCTTTTTGCTTGTCTACTCTTGCTAGAGATAGTCTTTTTTCTGAATAGAGACCTGTCGTCTTCCCCCAACCCCACATCCTCTAGCATCGAATTTCAGGGTGTCCTTTTCTCGGTCCCTTTGCACAGGAGCCCCACTCCTGCTCCTGTCGGTGGCCACCTGCAGGCGGCCCTCAGCTGCCCTCAACTCTCCAGGCACACTCTGTTTTAGGCCCACTCCTCTTTCTTGATGCTCTCCTTTGGTCTACCAAAGCAGCCTAGGCACCAAGCACAGAAGAGATGCGTGGAAGCCGCCGTGCTTGTGAGAGCTGCTTCCTCTGGGTTGTGCTTTGCCCACCTGCCTGCCACAGCTCCAGGCCCACAGCTCCAGGCTGTTCTGTCTCTGCAGGAGGGAGGGGGGGGGGAAGGGCGGTGCTGTCTACACCTGCCTCCTTCCTTAGAAAGTGGATGTAATCTGAATCTCCTCCAGGGGCAGGGGATGGGGTTGAGAATGATCCCTGAATTGTCTAAAGAGGGATGCAAGTGCACTGTGCACCATGCACTGCTGTAGCACGTGGGCATGCAGCTGCAGGCTGTCTGCACTCTTAAGACACCCCGTGCTTCAGTGGATGAGCAGGTATACCTGAAAAATTGGCCCTGGCCTTGTTGCAGCTGTGCCCAGGAATCCGAAGGTCCCCTGCTGCCATCCAGATCGGAGTCCTTAAGTACCATGTTCAGTGGTGAGTGTTACCCATCGGTGATGCGTTTCATGAATTCTCCCAGCATAGCTACTGTGCTCACTCTACAGAAGTGGGGCACAGCTGGAGAGAGAGCTTGATGCATTTCTTACTTGTTGCGAGAGGCGAAGAGCAGTGCTTTTAAAAATACTAAATATTTCTATTTTATTATTTTGTGTATGAGTATATTGCCTGCATGTATGTAAGTGCACCCATGTGGTACAATGCTCACAGAGGTCAGGAGAGGGCACCAAATCCCCTGGAACTCGAGTTACAGGTGGTGGTTAGCTACCATGTGGGTGCTGGGAACCAAACCTGGGTCCTCTGCAAGAGAAGCCCATGCTCTCAACCGCTGAGCTGTCTCTCCAGACCAGCAGAGCTTTTGGTTACAGAGATGCAGGACTCTGCTTTGCTTTGTTACAGGAAGACTCCATCCTGAGCATCTCCAGGGTGGGTTCAGGACTGGCTCTTGGGCAGTCTCTGGGTATTAGCCTGACAGGAGCTTGAGGATATCTTCCCAGAGAACCATTGTCATGTTGGAGGAAGAGCCTTTTGTCCAGGTTCAGCCCTTGAGTTCTTGAAATGTCAGACTCCTTTACCAGAGCTCAGGATGAGCCACTGCATGGCTAATGTGGAGTCTGGCCACACAGGCCAGTCACTATGTTAAGTTACTGTGGTGTTACAGTATTGCCTGAGATTTTATTTTTGAGGCAGTCTCACTCTGTAGCCCAAACTGGCCTAGACTACAGTGGATGAACTTGAACCCATGCTGATCTGCCTATCGCAGTCTCCTGAATGCTGG